GATTGATTTTAACTGCTTATTAATAGTGATTCTTGATTGGCTTGGTCAATATAAATTGAGAGTTAAATCAGCTATTATTTGAAAGTTTAGAGTTTATTTGGCTCAAGCTTTAGTTTAAGTTTTTTTTGGCTTTAATTTAAAAGTTTGGGGTTTTAATGGCTGTTTTCTCTTAAAAAATTACGGGTTGACAGGTACCGGCGATTCAAAATCCACCAATCCGCTCCACATAAAATACTCATAAGCCGCATCCGCACCCACCAATCAATTTTTTCAAATTGTTCGACTCGCACCCATTCCGCAATGGGTCAAACGAGACATGACCCCAGGCTAAGACTCATATTCCTAGGCCTATGTACAAGGGCGGTTTCTTCAAATTCAACACCGAGTTAACGACCTCGTCTTTCTCAGCTTTTTCAGAAACTCCGATAAGCTACGAATATTCAATTCCAGCAAAGTTAGCCAAATCAATAGTTTCGCAACACCGAAGAGCTACTTCAACTAGAATTCTACGTAGGGAATTCTCGAGGACTAAAAGCATAGTACCTGGTAACACGTAACCGGGATTTCGATTGTGGATGTAGTAGATGCGGCGAGGGAAGAAGTACGAGACGGTGCGTTATCGACGACATGTGCACCACCACCAGCAGCATTCAATCTCCTCCTCCGGGAAGAGCAACTAAAACTGCCGAGAAAAACTGAGATCCGAACCTCCGGGGGATGTAAGATGATGTTGGGGCCGCGATTAGAGATTCCACAGAGCAGAGAAGAGGAAGAAGGGAGAACTGCTGGAAACGTGCAGAGCACTGGCATTGCTGAATCGCAGCTTCAGAGGAGGAGTGAAGGTAGAGTCATGATATGGGATGGGGAAAAATTGACAATTTTCAAATCCGCTGGAGTAAAGAGAGGCTTCAGTCACGTCTCTTGGATAGAATTGTGGAGAATTATTTTCACATGGGCCTTAGGACAGCCACATCAAGGTATCAATATAGAGTTCACACGTTTCCCCATAAAAAATGTTATAATAATCAGTTTTGGTGAACTCAGCTCTCAACGCCTCTTCCCGGTGAACCCGGTTCAAGGCTTTTTTGCGGGCCCCATGTCACATGGCGGCCCGCTATTCGTCTATTTTTTTTTTTAACAAAAAGTCAAACCAAAAAAAAAAAAATATATATATATATATATATATATAATATTAAAATTGTGAACCCAAAGGGGGTTTCACTGATGTACTTGCTCTTACTAGGTTAAATTTCGGCCCACAGGCATTTTTGATAGCCTTTTTTATTTTACCAATAATTAAAAAAGATCAAAACCTTGAAACCCTAAATTGATCGGAGAGAATTGCTTCTTCTCCAGCAAGCAAGCAGTTTCTGCTTTATTTAATTATTTATTTTGCTTCTAATAGGAGAGGAGGATTATGGTGACTCAGATTCTCGTGGAGCAGGAGCAGTTGCTTTTATCTCTGTCATGTGATGTTGCCAACAATGAGAAACCAGTTGAGTCGCGTCGATTGGCTGGTATGATGCTTGTAGATGTGATGGGAAAAGCAGCTTACTTGTGGGTTTCAATGGACAGGATGATCAAGTCCCAGATAAAGGAACTTTTGCTAACAGCTCTTGTTGTCTCGTCGGAGACAAGGCAGGTCATCGCAAAGGCCTGACCTTTTCAAGTCCCTCCTTGGTAACATGACCCATGAATCTGCACAAGTGAAGCAGTCCACCTTGGAGACTCTCTGCTACGTCTGCCAGGAGGTATCGGTATCGGTATCGGATCCTCCTCTCCTCCTGGTGAATAATCAAGTGAACGACGTCATCCGGGCAGTACTCCGCGGGAGCCTCCCTCGTGAACCGAGCGAGGTTCGTCTGGCGGCAACGAAGGCGCTGCTTAACGTCCTGTGTTTTGCTCAGGCCAACTTTGGGATTGAGATGGAGTGTTGTTTGATCTTGAGGGTTGTGTACAAAGCAGCCTTGTCTCGGGAAGTGGAGATCAGGGAGGTGGCTTTCCAGTGTCTCGTGTTTATTGCATCCAAATACTACGAGGTGCTAGGAATGGACTGTGGGAAGTTGTTTGAGATTACGTTTAAAGCAATCAACGGTGACGTACGCACTCTTGCCATCCAAGCCATTGCCTTTTGGAACTCAATCTGTGATGTAGAAATGGAGCGCAATCCCCACTCGGGTTTGATTAAGTATAATACTCCTCATTTGATACCCATTTTGCTAGAGTCTTTGGAGGGAGAAGAAGAAGATGAGGAGGATAACAGAGTCTTCGAACTTGTGATGAACATCATACCGAAGCTTCTCTCTCACATCCTGAAAAATATAGGCCACACTCTGGACATGCTGCAAATTATTGATGATGGTCGTGAGAAACAACAAGCCATACTCCTAGCTTCTCTATGCGGTCTTGTTCAGTTCATAGTCGAAAAACTCAGTGGCGCAGACAAGACCAAGCACTTGGTTTTGCAAAACGCTGATGCCATTATGACTATGCTTCTCAGAGTGCTTGCTTGCCCCCATGGACATGGAGGAGGAGAAGCAATGCTGGCTACTGGAGCTCTTGCCTGTGCTACTGGACCTGCGTTTGAGAAATATGTCCCCGAGCTCTTCAACTACCTTAAACTGGGTCTTGAGAATTTTGAGGAATGCTCAATCACTGTCGGAGTAGTTGGGGACATTTGTCGTGCCTTAGATGACAAAATCCTGCCTTTTTGCGACCAGATCATGAGTCTCCTCACCCGAAATCTCCAGAGCGATCCACTCCCAAAATCTGTGAAACCTCTGATGTTCAACTGCATTTCAGACATTGCGCTTGCCATAGGTGTTCACTTTTCTGAGAGGTACCTAACTCCAGCTTTGGTGGAGATCATGCAAGGAGCAGCAGCAGAGGTGTGTGCGCACAGCGACGATGAAGAGCTTAGAAAATGCCTACTCGAGTCTTACTCTGGGATACTACAAGGTTGTGGAGATGCAAAGGCCCAGGTCATGATGATGCCAAATCTCTTACACTTCATCGACCTCAATGCTCAAATCTAAGCTTTTCTTTTTATTTCTACCGCATCGCATCAAAAATGGGTCTCATGTTTCACGGGTTTATTATCTCAAGCAGGGCCGAGGGCGTGGGGGTGCGTGCAACCGCGACCGGAGATCTTGCAGACGCATTGGGCAAAACACAAAGTAGTTGTTAGAGAACTTCCATGTATCCGAAAAGAAGTTTAGGGTTTAGCTGTGAAGCTGGAATTATGAAACTATTCAATTATCAGAGATTTTGAAACTGTGTAACTTTTTTCCATTTTCTATATAATAAACTTAGTTCTCTATACTCTATGATGGTCTATTACTGTTACCAGAGTGGTGTTTGACTTCTAGAAAGTAGTGGCTTAATCTAAACGAGACACGTTCCAAAACATCATGACAAACTGTTGATTTCTTTATGAAAAAACAGAGTCAAGTAGCTTGATCTTCATTGCTCTGTTTTTGTTTTAACTTTGGTGACATTACTCAACTGTTGAAACCCAAAAACACAATTCCAAAATGACGATTCCACCGCCGCAACAAGAGCCGCTAGGGAGGAGGAGGAGAGAGCAGGAGCGTCACCAGCACTCCTCTCCGTCAGCTCGCGCGTGCTTTCCACGCTCCGTCGCCGGCGAAACACATCCGTGACGTTCTGAGGCGGAGGAAGGGGAAAAAGGAGGCTGATTTGCCGGTGGAGAGGCAGAAGACGGAGGAGGAGAAGGAGAGAGAGGAGGTGGGGCTGGACAAGAGGTTCCTTGCATTCAGAGTAGGATGGAGTTGGGGGAGGAGATTGGGAGAGGGCATTCTGGGTATACTTGTTCTGCTAAGTTCAAGAGAGGAGAGCTCAAGGATCATGAGGTTGCTGTTAAAGTCACCCTAAATCTAAAGGTCAATACTTTACACTTTTATAATCTCTCTCTCAATTGGCTTTAAGTTTTTGCATGCTATTGATTGATTGTATTCTAGTGTTAAGCTGAGATTTGATTATTTTACAGATGTGTTGGTCTCTCTTGTTTGTTGTTTGATTTGGTTTGTTAGATGTTGTTACCCTATGAACTTATTTTTCTTCGTAGGCTCTTTTGATATCTTCTCTATGAACTTACTGTCTTTTTGTTGGAAATTTAAATGGAGTGTGGGACTTTTATACTTAGAAATTAATAGAAAAAAAAAGAACAAAACATGTTTTTGAATTCGGATTAGGTTGTAAAATTTTTTTTTCTGATAAATTTAATATGTTTGTCAAAGGTGAAGATTTTCAATGGTAGTGGATGTAAATTTTGCTGACTTTTCTTTCTGGTGAAAAAACTCTACACGTTATAAGCATAGTCATTTTGTGCTTATGTCATCAAAGAAATGAAGTGTGTATATTGTTCTTATGCAATTTTGTATCATGCAATCAAGTTATTTGACTTCTGGATTCACATAAGCTGTCCTGAGTTTGTTTGAGTGTTAGCTTTATCCATAATAGACTGTTTGCTCATTTAGTATTTGGTTTTGGCAGATGACAACTGCAATATCTATAGAGGATGTGAGAAGAGAAGTGAAAATCCTGCGGGCGTTATCTGGACATAACAACCTTGTACAGTTCTATGATGCTTTCGAGGACAATGCCAACGTCTACATCGTTATGGAGTAAGAATCTACTAGGGGAGCATATCAGATTCTTATTTTCTTGACTTGGCTTACTTCAAAAAATTGTTAAGCTGTGAATAAACAGTTACTTTCTTCGAACTTTCAGGTTATGTGGAGGTGGGCAACTCCTTGACAGAATACTAGCAAGGTCTGCTATTAAAAGAAAGAGAAATCATTTGGCATGAAATTTGTTAAACTTTTGGTCTCACTATGTCACATTCTGTTTTAGGGGAGGGAAATACACTGAAGATGATGCAAAAGCAGTGCTTATACAGATCCTTAACGTTGTAGCTTTCTGTCATCTCCAAGGAGTTGTTCATCGAGATTTAAAACCAGAGGTGAACCCTCTTTTCTCGTGTTCTTTATAGCTTCTTTTAAACCCCAAATAAAGATTTTGGTTTGAAACTTCCCCTAATCTGAAATACTTTTCATGTACCAGAACTTCTTGTACACTTCCAAAGAGGACAACTCTCAGTTGAAAGTGATAGACTTCGGTTTATCAGACTTTGTCAGACCAGACGAACGACTAAATGATATAGTGGGTAGTGCATATTACGTAGCCCCTGAAGTTCTGCACAACAGATCTTATTATATCGACTGCTGTAATATAGCAGCAGATGTACAAGTTATAAGAATCATAATTGAGGAAAACTATATAGTTTGGCTATTTGCATGTTCTATTTGACCATTAAAAGAAAACCGTTTGAGACTATATGTTTGTTTTTATGGATAATGATTATGATTATGGTTACGTTTCGACGTCATAACTAAAGAAAATGATTGCGTTATAAATTGTTTTGAATGGAAGCCAAAAACGGCAAAATGTAAAAGAAAGCGCGTTTCGAATTCCAACAGCGTTTTATGTAAGTAAAAGCGAAACTCCGTAACGGCGCCGTTACAAGTCTTCCGTCACAGTCGAAACGAGGACAACCATATAAACTCCGTCCCGTCGCTAAGGAATAAAATCTCATCCGTTGAGATAATCAACGGCTCATGAACCCTTCAACTCTCCTCTCACCTCTCTCTCTCTCTCTCCCACCAAAATCTCCTCTGCTTTTTCTCAATAAGAAGCGAACCAAAAATAGAAAAAAGCAGAGAGCAAACACATAGAGAGAGAGAAAACGAAGATGAGCGAGAGAAATCTCAACAGCAAGCGAGAATCTCGAGACTTCGAAGCTTCAAGCACAATCGTATCAGTATCGGTATCGCCACTCAAGAAGAAGACGAAGCTCGATGACTCTTCAGCATCGGACTCTCATGGCGTCGTGCTCGCGGTTCCTTCTCCTTATGTAGCTTCATCGGCGGAATCATCTCGAGCATCTATCGTCAGCTCCGACTGTTTCAGCAGTGAATCCAACGAAACCGTGAGGAACAATCCAACCTCTGTTGTAGATCTGGAGGTGAAATTTCTGGAATCGGTTAGCTCTTTCTCGATTCTGTTATTTTCTCTCCGTTTATTTCTTGTGTTTGTTCAGGATACAGTGAGCGAGGCTTTGGGAGAGACGACGGAGACGGCATCATCATCGGCAATCAAAAGGGATGAACCACCGGAGGTGAGCAAGGTTCCGACGGCGGAGGAGATTGAATCATTCTTATCGGAGCTAGAAGGTGGAGACGATAAACAGAAGCGATTCATAGAAAAGTGAGTCATCATCATCATCATCTTCCTTAACTAATATATTATATCTCACGTGTGCGTTGCGTTGCTTTGGGTTTTGGGGATTGTTTTGCTACAAGTCCGTACAAAAAACGTTGGGAAGAAGAATGTCTGCGCAGGATAAGAGATGATCCGACGCGTAGTTTAGCAAATATTATTCATTAATTTTAATCTAAAACGAACACTTTTTTGACACGCACGCAGGTACAACTTCGATATCCTCAATGACAAACCGCTTCAAGGTCGTTACATGTGGGATCGACTCAAGCCATGAATAGCGAGCATATGGAGGAGGAAGAAAAATAATTAGGTTATTTATCTACTAATTACATTCCACTCGTACGTACAGCTCTCGTTTCGTTTTTTTTGGTTCTAATCAGTTTTTAGCCTTCGTATAACCAAAGAAAAGAAAATACAACCTTTATATGGAAAGTTCGGATCTTGATCAAGTAATTACGATGGTTTTCAGAAAATAGAAATTCCTATGGCTTTTTGATTTTTTGTGGTTTCTCATGTATCACTTGTTTTTTGGTGAATCAAGTGAGTACAGTACCTGGTTTAGGTAATGTCAGACAGACTCTGGTTTTTATAATTGCATGAATAAGGAAAGTAATTGGTTCTTGGTTCGTTTAGTGCATTGGATGCTTATTACAATTATTTTATCTCCACATTTGTTTCGTCTCTTGTCCTTATTCTTACATTTTCCCAAGGAAGCAATATTTTAATGTTTCATAGTTTAAGGTAGGTATTACAGTACCCAATTTACGAAAATATCTGGAGCTACAAAAAAATTAAATTTACTCCGAATAAAAGAAAAATGGGGGAAAAGAGGAAATGTGCACATGAAATAACGATACAAACATACAGTTGGTCTGTATGTGGAAAAGGAGGAAATTTGCACATGTTGTCTACAAAACTTTTTGATATATTTCTCGTTAATATTCTATTTTATTATAACGGAATATTCGAATAGTTTTTGTTTTTGGATCCGTTCCTCTAAACTGAGGGTCCACGGTCCACCAGTAAGAAACTATTCTGGCTTTCATTAGATAAAACCAAAATACAGCTTAATTGGAGTGGAGTATGCAATTTAAATTTCCAAATGAAGTTTTACCGTAGCTAGTGAGTGTTTTTACCAAATAATAATACAGTAGTAGTATTATATGATAACTAAATTTATAAATTTTGCGTATATAAAAACTTTAAAGAAAAAAACAAAACAAAAAAAGAGGAGAGAAGCAAATCGCAGGGAGCAGAAAAGGTAAATCTCATCATTGCATGAATCGGTTGTGATGCTTTTTAACCATTTCTTTCTTACGGACTACGGTCCAGAGGAGACATAGCGCGTTGCTGCACGTGCCTTTGTCCAATATTTAATTTCTGTATAGTTAACAAGCTTGAGTTATAACTTCAAAGAGAAAAAAAAAACAATGTTCAAAAGAGAACATTATGAAAAGAGAGAAATATAAACTGGGATATGTTAAAGGAAAAAAAACGAATCTTTAGTGGTAATCAAATCAGGTAATATCCTGGACGTGAAGCTGCCTGAATTTACAAAATGTGATCATGCAAATACAACTGTCCTTTTCTACGTCCACATGTCTCTTTTGTGACGTACCCAGATCTTCATAGTATATGCTCCTCTTTTCCTTTTTGGACAATTATACACTCCTTATTATCCGATTTTCTAATAAAATGTGAGATACCACACGTGTATGCTTACTTGTAAACATGCGAAGCCATAGGTAATTGATTAATACTTTTATGTAGACCTGTTCAATCTGGTGTTCAGTCCGGTTTTGGTTTGTTTTTTTCGGTTTTCGGTTATTCAGTTTATAAAAATTAGCTATCATATTGGAACCATAGTTAATTTGGTTTGGTTTGGTATTTATACTACATAATTTCGGTTTATTTTATATTAAATAACATTATTATTTGATTTAATTTCATATTATATGAATTTAAAAAAACATATTGTCAAAACTATCATTTATTAAAATAATCATAGGTGTTCATAAATATAAAAAAGTGAAATCAACAATAAATAAAACGACCAACGATTCAGTTTTGTACAGTTTTTCTTATTTTCTTTTTATTCTTCCAAATAAATTACATGGTACATTCTAATTTCACATTTTTTTACAACATGCAAAATCAAATCAAATTTAGATAATAGTTGAAGAAAATAAAATAAAATTATTAAGATATATCTTCATAAGGAATAGAAAAAAGATTATTCCAAAAAAATTAATGGTTATATAATATATATTTATATATTTTTTATTTGATCGGTTTTGTTCGGTTTAATCGGTTGTAAACCTAACCATATCCAAATCCTACGATTTTTATAAAATCATATCCATTCGGTTTATATGGTATATACCAAATCTAAACCATATTGTCTATTTTAGTTCGGTTCGGTACGGTTCGGTATTACCATATTGAAGAGCCTTATTTTTATGTATATTTTGCGGTTAAAAATAGCATATATCGGGACTTAAGCAATATATTGAATATAAAAACTATACAGTTGTGTTTGTGTATATAGTTACAATGTGTCTGTGTCAGTGTTTGTGCGGGTAGAATAAAATATGTAAATGTAATGCAAAGAAGAATTAAAAAAGAGGAATGAGTTTTGGGATTGTAAATGTAGATGTGGTTGTTGAAAATTGTTTATATACCTCATTAGAAAAGTTATAAGCTTCCTTGTTGATATAAAAGTTAACTGTTAGATTCGGGTTTATTATGGAATTTCAACTTAAAACTAATTGGTAATTAGTTGATTGGTCATAACCCTTTATATAATACTTAAGATATTGATTTTTCAATATGGGATATATTATCCCTAATACCTCTCCTTGAGATGATGACTCTTATCGGCCAAAAATCTCAGAACTTTAAAACAATTATACTCGGTCGAACGAGTCAAATACGACAATTATACCTAGTCAGAAGGTTAAACACGATCTATATACCCAGTCGGAAGAGTTAATTAATTAGTTAGGAGTTTAGGGTTTTTAGGATCTGAGCTCTGATATCATGTTAGATTCGGGTTTATTATGAGTTTTCAACTTAAAACTAATTGGTGATTAATGGATTGACCCTAATCCTTTATATATTACTTAAGATCCCACTGATTTTCCAATGTGGAATATATTATCTCTAATATGAACTTTAACTACTTTACGGGGTCGACCAAAAACCATATCTGCCATCCAGAAAATCTTGAGCAGCAAGTCTTGGACTTGACAATCTCCCGACCATTAAATCATGGAGATTTCTGTTATTGAGAGGGATGGCTTGTAGTTTATATACGATATGAGTTAGAGCCGGTCCTAGAATCTTTAAGACCGAAGTATAAGAAAAATATGTGGTCAGGTTTGTAACACTGATGGTTGAACCTGTGATCTGAAGAAGGTGAGTTTTGTGTGCATTGCCACTAGAACAAAGGGACTGCACGGATTATTGAGAGGGATGGCTTGTAGTTTATATACGATATGAGTTAGAGCCGGTCCTAGAATCTTTAAGACCGAAGTATAAGAAAAATATGTGGTCAGGTTTGTAACACTGATGGTTGAACCTGTGATCTGAAGAAGGTGAGTTTTGTGTGCATTGCCACTAGAACAAAGGGACTGCACGGATTATGTAGCCGAAACTTAGTGATAAAATAAAAGGCCACAACCAAATGCTTTACTCGCTTGAGGGAAAAGTGTTTATTTCAACCAAAATAATTCGATCATGCCAAATATGATCTAAATTAAGTTATGATTAAAAAAAATTACTTAAACTTTTTAAAACGTGGCTAAATTTACATTGACCGTAATAGTAGTTAGTCAACCATTAAAATGATAAAATGACATCATTTGATTTAACTATTTTTTTATAAAAATATGTTCTTTCAAGGACTTGAACCCATGCCTTGCCACTTTTTTAAAAAGACTCATTAACCATTAGGCTAAATAAATATTTCAAAAAAAATTACTACAAATTTGAAATTATATATGCTACTATACCTTTTCATCTTCTTCAATTAAATTATTATTAATTATGATTCTTATCAATACATTAACATATTTCATAAACTTATATTATACTAAAATATAAATAAGAAAATATGTTTAATTATACAAAATAAAATATACTTCATGCTTTGCAACTACTTACAAAATGTCCATGTATAAATTATTTTCAAATTTTAAAAATTGAAGGTTAATTTTCATTATTTGTCAAAATTAATAATCAAATATACTAATATATTTATTTTGACAAATAAAAGAAATTACCATTCAATTTTAAATTTAAAATAATTTATATATAAAACTTTGTATATAGTTGAATAATTTGAAGTATATTTAATTTTGTATAGTTATAGATATTTTATTATTTATATTTTAGTATAATATTAGTTTATTAAAGATATAATAATTAAGAACACGTTAATGTATTTATAAGAATCAGAAATAATAATAACCAAACTTTTAACTGGAGAAGATGAAAAAGTATAGTAGTATATATAATTTTAAATTTGTAGTAATATTTCAAAATGTTTCTTTAGTTTAGTGGTTAATGTATCTATTCAATCATTTTGAAATATTACTACAAACCACTAGACTAAAGAAACAAGCCAATATATGAATATACTATTCATGTTGCTGTCTTTAGTGTTTGTATTCGTAACTCTACCTTTGTTATTTCGGTCATGGCGTTTAGATCCCATCAGTGATATTAGTAAGTTTGTGCTGACAAAAGAAAGTAGAACAATGTTTGTTTGTATGTGCAGGAAATGAGGTCCCCTAGAACCTTGGAGGTTTGGAAGCTAGGCACTGTCACGTTCTTAGCATCGGCATTGGTGCTAGGAACTATCTGGAGACGTTGGAGTGGTCTATGATCGAATTTGCTTCTCTTTATGGCGTGAAAGCACGTGAATGACATAAAGGTGAGACTGGAGTATGGGTGCGGGATAGAAAGATTGGTGTTATTGGGGTTCGTATATCCTCTGGAATCAATAGCCATGGTTTGGCCTTCAACATAGATCCTGACACATTATGCCTTTGGGATTGCTTGTAAAGAAGTCACATCTCTGAGAAGAGAGACAGATACTCTGCTTCCTTCGGAAGAAGTGATTCATGAGAAGTTGGTTTCTTGTCTGGCCAAAGCGTTCTCATATGATGATGCTGTATGGAAGGAAGATCTTCTTTCATTTTGGATAATAGTTCTTCTTGAGGTTTAATCCTGTTTTGATTGAATGCATTTTTTTTTTGATTGAATGCATCTTACTTACTCTATGCAATTCGCTGTTAGATTAGTTTGATTTAATATTAAATTAAAACAAAATCAACACTGCAAACATGATAAAGAGTAGAGCAAATAGAAAACAAACCACAATGCAGAAGGTATACCTAAAAAGAGAGAATAAACGGGAGAGATTGAATATATAAAGATGATGAGTAAAACAATGGCCATGACATGACTAAGACCCATGATGCCGCCTTCCCAACCTTCAGGCTTGTTCCATAGGAAGATGTAGACCCATAAAGCTACACCATAAGTAAATGTTGCGCAATAGTAACTGAAGAACAGCTCGACCATGTCCCATTTGTGTGGAACAGCTATGTGAATCTTCGAGTGTCTAATAACAAAAATATTGCAACGTTTAAGGCTATCAAGAGTGCGCTCATGA